GACTACAAGATGTGTTCGATTTTGATTTCAATGCACCATTTTTCACACGCATACGTCACCACGAAGATTTTGCAACGATTCCGTGATACTGAAAAACGTGATCCAAGTCCAGCAACTCGAAATGATGACTTGCAAAAATTGTTCGCCATTCGCGATGAAATCGCCAAAGGCTTGTTTCCAGTCTCAGCATTCGTCCATGTTTTCGCACAAGTCTCACTGGTGGCAGCTATCGTTGGCGGCTAACTGTCACAAGAAGTGATCAAGGCACTTTCACAAAAAGAACCACCACATTTGAATGTATTCCTGTTCGATCCAGTCAAATGCTGCGAATTCGTTGAACCGATTGCTGTCTAAACCGCATCAATATCCATATAATATACAGCATATTCATAACTATTCATATTATGTATTTCAGTGGAGCAGTTGATCGTCTCTTCTGAATTTATTCCTAATATCTTTGATTCTCAGAATAAAACAAAAACTTTTCATATTTCAAATAAAATACAAATCATTTTATATTTTTTATGGTCGTTGTATGGCTTTGTCAGCCAATTTAAGTAAAATCTCTTGACAAATGAAAAAAGCATTTATTACTAGAAGTCACAAATGACACAAAATAATAGCATTACTGTTTTGAAACTACGCATTAAGAATAAGAAGATAACACAATGAACAAAACAAAATTATCTTAATATGTGAAATAATCGCGAACGATATATCCAATTCGGTGTGGAAATATTTGCAATGGAAAAAAAAGCAAAATTTATCGATAGCAAAAGGAATAAAAATCCCATTGATTTAATATTACAGTTATTGATTAAAATTGCAAACGAATCCCATACAAAACATGCTGTTTGAAATAAAAAACGAAAAAATAACAAATAAAGAGAAGAATTGTTAACGTTGAAGTAAGTCAATAAATTATTAGAAAAATATATAAAGAATTCATCCTTTTTACCTTTATTTACATTTACATTTCTCTATCTTTCTCTCTCTGAGTTCGTAAGTACTGAAAAAAATGATTGAGTTTAAGAAAAAAAAGCCAATTTTTTTATTAATTTTCCATGTATATATTATAATAATAATAATAATAAAATTAGAACGAGAAGTAAAGATTTCAAAGATTAAAAGGAGATTCTGTGTTGACTACATACTAATACTAATGTTGTAAATAGAAAATAAAAAGAAGAAATAAATTTGTTTGTTAAAAATATCCGATAAATGCAAATAGAATTGCTGCATCTAACACATCTATACATATGTATATATATGTACTCAAATGAAATTAAGGTTTATTTTGTTGGATGATAATTTTCCTAGATGAATTTTTTCTTTTAACCAGACTGACTTTGCTTTCGGTCGTTGTATTTTGTGGTGTACCATTGGCCATCAATAGTTGTGGTATATTACGTTTAAATCCATTGCTTGAAGCGAAGCGTCTAAAGAATAGTGAGCCGGTAGCCTTTTGCTTTGGATTATTGAGCGCGTCAGCAATTTCTCTTTCGGCAATTTCTCGTTTGGATGTTGTGGCTACAGCTGTATTTGCAAAACGATATGCATGTTGTTGATGTTGATTTGCACTTTTATAATCATGAATGCCAAAGCCGATTTCATTTCGAATGGCATGATGACGATTATTGGAATGTGTAAACGGTGAATATGGTGATGGCAGCATAAATGAATCACTTGGTATATTTGGCGATTCTGCACAGTCTTCGCCAGCTCTCTGCAATAGCATTGTTAGCGTTCTTTCATAGTGTCTTTGTAAATCGAGCGTATTACGTTCTCCTACCAAACGGGACTGCTGGAATTCATCGCACAATACACGTTCACGTAGTTTCCATTCATTTCGTTCCTGTTCTAATTGCAACAATTGAATCTCCAACTGACGACTGCTGTCGCGTAAATCGACAATTTTTTGAAAACATTTGTACAGCAGTACACGCATCTCTTTTTCATTTAACTTATTTAATTGACTCATGAGATCTGGATTTCCGACACTTTTCCGATTCAACATATCACGGCCGCATATCAATTGATTCTTCATTTCCATTGCGTGATCGATCACCTCCTTGGCAACATCATATTCGAGTATTTTTCGAGTTTCCCATTCGGTTAGTCGTTCCTTTTTCAATTTTTGATTTAGCAGACACTGTGCATCAGTTAAACGATCACGTTGACTTCGTAAATTTCGAATTTCATGCCGAATTGATTGCACCATTTCACTTTCGTCGTTATTTTTCTGCAAATATTCGCTCTTTTCTTTCAGCACACTATCGAATTGCGTGATACGGGTGTCAACACTCATACGTTTCTCTTCTTTTGCAGTTTTGGCATTCTTTGCCTTTTCGCTTTTCCATTTTGTTTCAGCTTCACGCAGCGACTTCTTATCTGCTTCCAATGCTTTCTCCAACATTTTCAATTGTTTATCACTTATTTCAATATCTTGTTGAAAGCCCTTGATTGTGTTGTCACTGTGTTGACTAATCGCTCTCAAACGAGATATTTCCGTTAGTTGTGTTTCAATTTTGGATAATTCCATTTTCCATTTGTCAATTTCCTTTTTCTCACAGCGTTCCATTGCTTTTATGCATCGTTCCTTTTTCGTTTCCAATGATGCAACCTTACGATTAAGTACTCGTTTTGCTTTATCTCTGCCACTATTTATTTTCATAAGCTCTTTTTTTATTTTAATATTTTGCTTTAGTTCGGTAATTTTCGATTCTTTCGCTTCGATATCGGTTCGAAAGCGACGGATATGGTTCAAAAACAACACTTCTGATTGATGACGAGTGGCCATTCTCAACGGATGCAAATGATCGGAATTTTCCAAAAATGCAGTTGCCTCACGACCAACCGTCGTATTTAAACACATTTGTTGACTGTTTCGAATACTCTCTTCTAAGCGTTCTTTTGTTGTCTCTTCAGCAATCCGATTTAAATGATCCAGTTCAGAACTGCTCAATCCACTATTGCTATCACCAACTTGAACCGATCGACGTCGATTCGTTGCAACACCGGCGGCCACAATAGCCAATTCTTTTGGCTTGTCGTCGTAACTGTTTAGCACAGCTTTCGGATATGTATCTACATAGTTTTTATAATAATCTTCAATCATTTTATTCACATGGCGTGAAAAATTAATCATTAGATCGGGAATTTTCGCCTCAACATGCTCCAAATTCTCGTCAGCATCGCTTTCATTGTCTGAAAATGTGGCATTTTGACCGGAATGATCGGTTTTTTCTTGTTCCAAAATTTCACCATTGCTGCGTTCATCATTTTCACTATTCTCATCGGTTTCTTGGATTGGTTTCAATAGGCGGCCACCATTCGATATTAATCCGGCCGAACTGAATGATTCACATTCTTGTTTTAAGTACATCCATTCTTCGATACATTCGCGATCATTGTCGTTAAGTAATTTATTGTT